TGTGTGTGTGTGTGTGTGTGTGTGTGTGTGTGTGTGTGTGTGCATGTGTGTGTGTGTGTGTGTGCGTGTGTGTGTGTGTTTATCTGTTAGCCTATATGTTTTCAGTTTCACAACGGATTTCCGTTTTCCAATGATATTGCCACAAAATACGATTGAAAAATGTTGGCTTTCTAGAATGTCCTCAATCGTTGAAATCAACGCTTCTTGAAAATTCCGTTGAGTCACGCAGTAATTTCCTGTCACCTTTGATCTGTTTTTATGTTTTCCTCCAAGCTTATTAATAAAGTATTATTTTAGTGCTTCTTGTATTGAGCTATCGGAGTAAGTGTTACATTATAAACTATATTTCTTAATTAGGCGAAAATAGAATGAACAAGCAAAGTCATCGTCTTTTAGACTTTTTTTCGCTAAATTTTGAATTAAAATTCAGAAGTGCTCTTTTCGGCGCAAAGCGCTCTCCACTAAAAACTGTTCAAGGAGCTATGCTTCATTTCACAAAATTCATTTGTTATCCAAAATATTTTTATAGCTTCAATTTCCATCTTTTTTATTAAACTGAAAAAGTGCGTACGAAAAATAAATTGAATGGGTTTTTGAATTTCGAAATTATCCTCAGAATGTCAAATGCTTTCCATTTGAACTCTTTACTTTTTCCTACTCTTTTAATACCGCAATAAAAACTGCTTTTATTCTTTTTGGACAGTGTTTTATTTAAAAAAAGCGATTTCTAAATCCGTCCGTTTCCATTTCTTCTCTTTTCCTTTTTCTCCTTACCGGAATTTAAATTCGTTTCTCTGTAATCTTGCGTAACGGCACTTACCTCGTGTATCTGAGAAATTTGATGTAAAAATTGTCCTGAAAAAAGTGTCCATTTTTGGTAATCAGATACATATTAAAATGTGTTTCCTCCCAGGGAGTCTTTCATTAGCATAATTGTTCTCCCATTTGGTATTTGTTTTTACATAAATAAACCGAGTGGAATCGACGGGTTGTTTTCCCTGAAAGGCGTAACTGACGTTTGATATTTGTTCAACTCAGTGTGTTTGATTAGATGTTGCAGTCTAATGTTTCTCTATCATTGCAATCGTTTAAATGCTGGCATTTGATCGTTTTGTTTATTCTTTTATCATCAAGCAGTTTCTTACCTTTTGCTTTTACAATTCTTAAATTGAATTGTTATTTTGAGAGATGTGTGAAAAAGTTTCACTTGTACACAGTTTTGATTGTTATGAAGGGACGAAAAAATTTTTCTTTTATCAGTTCCCGTTCGATATCGTAGAGTGGCGGTGCTATGTTGGTTTTGTATTCTGCAAAAGCACCAAGTATCGAACCCTTGCTTATTCATCTGATTGTGATTGCGCTTAATGCTGATATCCGCTTGTTTGAAACAGACCGCTTTTATTCCGTATGCCAAGAACTTTTTCCAAATAATTTTGTCACTGAAATTTTCTTATACATTTCTGATAAAAGAAAAAATGGCTCATGTTTGCTATTGATATTGGATATATTGAAACTGATTCAAGGAAAAAAAATGAATTAATGAGCTTTGGATGAAGTACAAAACATAATATCACTTGATGTCTAAGTTTAAGTCTTCGTGTCATTTCGATGCTAACTCATGGCAGAGAAACTAAGGCACAATAATCAAGTGAAAGGAGACTTTCGAAAAGCAAGAGATGACTATCGTGCATGGTTTGGAAAGCATTGAAAACACCGAAATAATTACACAGTTTAAATATCAATTGGGTTATCCGCTACAGTGGTTTGGCCTTATGCAATCGTAAGAAAAGTTGACGAGAGGTTCTCTTGGTGCAGTTTTTCCAAGAAAATTTTCCGTTTTCCTCTCATTCTTTTCAATACTGAAGGATAGAAAATTAGTAGTAATTCAAATAAGTGAACCAAGATGTCGAGAAAGTGCTGTTCATGTTATGATATGATAAACGTGCAAATTTAGAAAACTTTTGTAAAATGTCTTAAGAGAGCTTGTTTTTATCAAATTATTTTCAAGAATAAAATAATCATTCGTAGATTCATATCAAATAAAAAGAACTAGGTGTTGTTTCATCGTTTCCAATTTTTACCACTCTTCAAACGTTTTGCTGAATAAGTATTAGGGAAGTATCTGATTGTGATATATTTTTCCTAGTTGTTTCAGAATTACTTTTCAGTTATTTTGTTCTGTTTAAATAGCTGTTGACACAACTTCATCCACGGTGCATCCTATTCTGAAGAATAGCAACTACACTGATATGACTAGATATGATCGCCTAGTTGTCACTAACATTCCATATTCTAGATGATTGATTGTATGGATGAATGAATGAAAAGAACAGAACGCCTACCATCTAATTTCCTTCTTCTCGAAGGCAGCTTTTCCAAACTCTGTCTTGATAAAGTTTTCAACTATCGACAAACAATTTTCTTTTTTTTTATTTTTATCATTTTATGTTAGCGATATTGGTTTGTGTTATTTGATGAAGAAGACTGTATTTGAAATGAATGTTGAATAGATAGGAGTATGTGATACCAAGAAGTTTGCTTTCTTTTACATTTACATTGACATCGACACCGATGGTAACATGCACTGAGCAGCAAACTTTTAAAACATGAAACCCATTTCAAAGCGAAGCTTTTCATGTTCTCCATTTTTATTTGCATCGTTTCAGTTTGTTTGATTTTTATTCATGAGGTCAAGATATGTTTTTTGCGCCTCATGTTCCATGTTTTCACCCCTTCCATTCCCCTACCCCCACTCATCAATAATGAAATTCATTAATGAGATACGTCCTGTTATGAAGACATTTATTGATTGCAAATGAACTTGTTTTTTTTGAACTCATTTCTTTGATTTCATCCATTTGTTTGAACTTTTCGAAAGTTTAACAAATCTTTTCATCCAGCCACTTTTTCTGTATAAAACGAAACTAGGATGTTTTGATGTTTTGCTGTTCTGAAGTCGATAAATGTGTTTAAAATAACCAACAATCGAAAATAGTGCAAGTGTCATCGGCATAAATTTGATAGAAAAATGAGTGCATTTGAAGTACAGCTTTATTTTTATGTCATATTTCCCTTCCATATATCCGTAGCCGGATTCAGAATCATGGTATGAAGTAATCTATGAGTTCTATATTATCTCAGCAATGCTTAGATACATTAAGTTGTTCGTAACACTAATACGATTACGACGGCGCGTGTAATGAAGACTGATGAATTTTGGCAGTAAGTTGAAGTTGAACCGTTACACGTGAATTGCAAATGTTAGAGTGTAGTTTTATCTTTCTATATTAAAAGACGTATTTTTGATTAGTTTGAGACAGGTTTAGTCTTCGTAATATATCTGAATAGAATTTACCAAAAAGTTGTTTTTGGTTCAATCCTTATCCAAAAATAGTTTTACTTTGTTAATATTTATACCGCATTCTGATCTGCCTTCTTTATACCTTTTTTAAACCTTTTTTTGCCCTTTTTATAGGTATTATCTGAAACCACGAATGACTGGTGATGAGAATGATGATGGGATTAATGGTGGCACAAGCGACGTTTCGGCCACTGAGAATCAGAATTCATTAAACGGTTATCAGCAACTTGGCGAGCTACGCTTGCGACTCTTTTATACTGCAGAACATGTGCTACCGCTCGAGTTCTATAAGCCGTTGCAGATGAATCTTGTCAAATCATTGACGTTACAACCGTTTTGCGCATCGCCGGCTGGGATCCTCGAATATTTACCATCGGTAAGAGCAGTTAAGAGGGAGTGATGAAAGAGATACAGTATTAGCTATCGTGGTAATAAAATTAAAATTATATATTTCCCAAAACCTATAAATTAAATGTTTTGAGAATTTAAGGTTTACATTTTAGGTGGATATACTAGCAATTGCCAGACCACTAATGAAGATTTTTGTACAGGCTGAACTGATACGTCCATTATTAAGGGTACTTTGCTCCGATGACATTCTGAAATGCCAGTAAGTCCATTTTTTCTCATTGAAAACTAATTTCCTGTAGCTGGAACTTATTTTTGGTTTTTTAAAATTTTTCTATTAGATCATTCTCATTCTTTGAAAGAGGATTGATGTCAAATTGCATTAGCAAACAGTTTTCATGCTGCTTCTCCGGGTGGAGATTGTTTTTCGCGACAGTACATATATTTCCAGAAGCGCTTGAGAATTACTAATTTGCCAATTGGCCGAACTTTGATCCTTCATTAACAGGAATTTAAAATCAAGCTATTGAAGAAGAAGCGTCATTCATATTAAACAATTTAAATGCAATATCTTTCAGAGACATAAATACTTTATTTCGAAGTCAGTCGTTGGCAACAAAGATAATACATGAACAAATGAAATTTTTTGGGCACCATTATCTTGTGACCTCAATTAAACCTGTTATTGACATGGTAAGTTGTATACGTTAGACTTTACATTAACTCCTCACGCCAAGCGTAATGATTTCATTCAATCTCTCCTAACCATCCAAAAAATGTGAAGTTTAAAAGTTCATGACGCTTTGCCAATTTGAAACATTATTCTTGCTTAATTTTGTAATTTCTCTTTTAAGATTTATTGTGAGCGTAAATGTTGCGAGATTGATCCAATGAAGCTAAAGCAAAACGATAGTTTGGAATCGAATAAGGTCAACTCTTTAAACAGATAGACAGGCAGTGCAAGAATGAAGTTTAAGAAACTATTTCAGTTGTTATGGAGAGAAAACATTCTTGCTGACAGCCCACATTTCTTCATTTCATGATCACTTTATCTATTCCAAATTTAGAAGATAACTGACAGTTTTAGTGTTTCACTTTGTCAATAGGATTTGGTTGAGCAACACAAATCGTTGTACTCTGAAAATTTTAGCCAATTAATTTTTCAGCTAAATCTGATAGTGTATGGTGAGATAGCATTCTCACGAGTAGTCGATTCAAGTCACCGTTGCCCGTTAGTGCTGCGCGAAATGTTTTCCGATTTACGAGAACTTGCAGCGAAGCATTTTCACGGTCGAGAAGATGTCCAACGATTGGTGCTTAGTTCCTTCATTATTATGCGTTTCTTTGCGGCTGCTCTTATGAATCCGAAATCGTTCGGACTCAAACGAGATCAACCAGTTAGTCTTTTTGTGGAGGATTTTTCAAATAATTTCGAGATATTTTACTTCTACTTCTTTTTCGATCTTTTTTTTCCAAATATTTGCCGCAATTTCCATAACATCAAAAGTTAAGAACGTGTTTAATAACATATGTTTTTTACGAATTTTTGATGAGAATTTATTTTTTCGCTAACACTTTTAAAATAAACGGATTTTGGTTCGAGTTTCAAAAATCGGGGAACTTCAGTTTTATTTTGCCGCTTAATTTTATAAATCATTTTTTATGATGTTTTAGGAAGGTGTTGTTTGTCGTACACTAGTACTCCTGTCAAAAATACTTCAACGACTGTCGAATTGCGTTGTTTCTGCAAATTCACTCACTGAAAAAGAGCCATGGCTTTCATCAGTTCTCGAGAGGTTCAGTTTTTTAGTTACCAGAAAAAGCGTTTTGCGCTCAGTCGTTTTGTCGTAATCTTTGTTGTACACTGGCTGTTATGTTCAAGATTAAGCGGAATTTGTAGGTTCACAGATGAACAACATCGGCTCGCAATGTTGAAGTTTCTTAACACGATATCAATGACAGAGAATGCCACAGATGTTAATGGTGAAAATCTCTCAGTCGTTCGCGACGGGTGAAATTTTTTGACATTCTATCTTCGATAATGAATTTTTAATTTAGACTCTTGCGAAGTATTTTATTAAGTGCTGTAACATGACAGTTCAATCGAATTTAATTGCCCACTGCTACTAGTAAGTCAGAATATTCCATGCTTTCACAGGCTGATGAAAATATAACATTAGACGTTTGTCAGCCTCACAGTGAAAATGATCCGCTTAACAGTAATTGTAATTTTTTAAATAAAAATTTAAATATTGACCGATTTACAGGTTTTTTATCGAAAGAAAAATCCGAGAAAAGCGTCGAATACTGCGAAACTTAGTGAATCAGAAGCGACGATATGTCGTACTAACTGAAAATGAGATTTGCTGGCAAAAAACGAAAGGTTTATATATTTTTTTCATTTCTTTTCTGCAACTTAAAATTGTGCTTCTCCTCGTAGTGATATCTGCTTTAATCCTTCCTATGTTCCGTATTTCTTGGAAAGGTTTCTAGAAATGAACTTCAGTCGTTTTTAAATATTTGACAAATTCCCTTCCATCCTGTCTTCGCGTTTTGAATCCGAGATATTTCTCATTCCACCCGTTCTCGTTATTCATTTAAAAAAAAAATTTTTTTTCACCACATACTACAATTTTTCTCACATACAGAAGTAGATTTAAGGTCAATTTATTAGGTTTACCGAATGCTAATTCATTTTAGCAGATGCAGAACCGAAAGGCCGAATGAGACTCCAAGAAGTGAACCAAATAGAGCCGGTGGTAGATGCAAAAAATGTCTTCAGGATAGCATCACCGGACTGTGAAATCCAATTTCAAGCACCGAGCACGGTTGAAATGAATGAATGGTTAGATGTTTCTCCTTTTTTTTCTTTTTAATTTGGAATAGATCGAGTTGAAATCAATGAGTTTATGTTTAGCAAAATAAGCTTTTTGGGAAAAGTTCCACTGCAAGTTTGAAATTATAGGATAGTACAAATCCAAAAACAGCGCAAGCGGCAACTTATGATCGCCTTGCGTACGAGCGAATCGAACGATGCATTTGAAATAGATACTGAACGAGAACTTGAGGCAATTCATGCGATACTTTATGAAAATGCGGAAACAATAAAGCAGTGGAAGAATGTATTGGAAGGGACGGAGATTCCGAATGGACATTCATGCATACCGAGTGCATTACAGGATCAGGTTCATTTTCAAAATAATAGCGATATTTCATCACTACGACGGGTTTATTTTTTTTTACCATTCACTATTTTCAGTTGAAAAATAGTGAAAATCCGGAACAAGCGAAGCAGCTATTTTATAGCAGTCTTCAAGAAATTTTGCATAGCACTTTATTGATCGAAAAGTCACATGATGAAATTCTTAATCGCTTCATCAAACAGGTAACACTCTCCTCTTAGTTTTGTTTTTTTTCTACAATGTTTAATTTCATTGAGAGAAATAGCGACATTATATTGGTTTATTATATTTCACAAGGTTTAATCAAGTTGCTGGAAACAAGTTCAATGTGAGTTGAATATAACTAACTTATTCCAAGATTACATGAAACTCACGTGCTTTTAGATTCGTTATGGTAAAGGAACACGGGAACTTCCAATCGGTGATGATAATTATTTGCTATTAAAATCACGATTTCATAAAAGCATTGATGAGATCTGATATCAGTTGAAGAGTTGAAGACAGGAATAGAAAGAAGAGAAAAAGAGACGAGTTACTAAGAACGATCGACGCAGTAAGGCAATTGTAAGAGCTATTCTCGAACTCAGGAAACAAACCAAATTTTGCGAAAATGCCTTATTGTCTCTGCTATGGTTTTTACATATTATTTTTCTTCGAAGTTTTGTAATTTATTTGTTTTTCAAGGGTCTTTATTCTTTCAAGGTGCTTGAGCATTGTTATCATTATTTCTCTTAATTTCTCGCTCAAAATCGTTCCCTGGCGTTTAGGTCTGGACTTCCTGTTACCGATCGAGTCATTCCAGTTCTCTTTTGGTTGATTATGATTGAAAGTAGTAGGATTTTTGTCCTTTAATCATTTTTTTGTTATTAGAGAATGAGAAATGAAGTGAACTGATAGAATTTAAAATATTTGCGCAGAGGATGAAAATGATAGGAGAATTGCTGCCTCAGGCAGCGATATTGTAATAAGTGATAAAACAAATGAGTAGTAATGGGAATGAAGTGGATCTATAATTGTCAGTTTCAGTTTAAGTTTCTCATGTGTTATTTACCTCGACTGTTTTTCCTTTTATCATTTCTCCATTGTGTATATTTTTCTTTCCAATTTCATTAAAGAAGTTGGCTGCCTCAGCTGAAACTTGGCTTTTTGTTCATTTTGCCGATACTTATTAGATGCTCTTTGGTTTATTTTTTATTTTATTTTTCTGATAATTTTGGCGCACTTGTTGTCATTATCACAATTACATGATCTTTTCTAATCCGTTTTAGTTCCTGTTAGGAGCAATTGGTAGATATTTGGATTTAAGATGTTAGATGAAAGAGAAGAAAATGTATCTGTATATGAATATTGATTGATAACATAACGATATATTAAATAAGCGCCGGTAGGTAAATTACTATTGTTACCGTTATTCGATTATTTTGATTTGTTCGGTTTATTATATTTATATCTATTTGAGCAAAATTGCATAAAGTTCTGTCATGTCGTTTCATTCATAACAGAATTATATTCTATAGTTTCGAAAATATTGCTGAAAGGGTTACGGAAAGCTATGATGGTTTTTCCAGGAATAAAACAGATAAACTGATTGGAAAAGAAAGAATCTGCTGGGGAAACTTCTGTCCCCATGGAAGATTGTTAATACGATTGAAGTATGGAAAAAGTCAGGTTTGATCATTCCCGCAATTCGTTTTTTTCTTTGCAAATGAAGCAAAGGAACAGTTGTCATTTTTTAAATGAACTTGAAATGAGGGAATGGAATTCATATATTTTTCACCTGTCTTTCCATCTCTTCGGATGGAAAGCACAGAGGGAAGGCGAAATTGCCCCATCGGAGTAAAATGGATAAGAAAGCGGAGAAATCTAATGTGAGGACTTTCCAGAACGTAACTGTTTACTTTTCGAACTTTAACGAGAACATAGCTTAATAGAACTCTGTTCCCCAACATCGTGTATTTGTCGTATGCCGGATCTTTGTTTATCGATTTTTCTCCCACAACAAATCTCTTAACACGCTTTAGCTAACGATGACGTTTCGGTTGTGTTCATGATAAAATTCAGGTATGCTTCCTGATCAAAAATAGTTCATGATAAAATTCAGGAATGCTTTCTGATCAAAATACTGAAACAGATTCTTTGTTTCAGAATGCATCTCTCGGTACGATAAGAGACTAATCAAACAGAATGGTCAATTGTGTGTTCTGCGAAAGACGAAGAGGCTGAAATATTTATGTTAATACTAATTTATTCAATTAGAGCCCAAAGTCAGATGGAAAAGTTCATGCTAACACACACACACACACATATACACTCATACACACACACACACCGATACATAGACAAGCGGGAATGCGGAATATAGGAAGGAAGCTTTTGTGAAATGAAACATCGCATCAAAATCTCAGAATGCTGCAAAATACACAGGTGTTTTATGAAGAGTACTTCCGTTTTTCTGAACGACCGTTAACTATGTTTCATTCCATCTTCTTCATTTGTCTCGGTTTTGAGCTCCTCTTCCTCTCGAACAATACCTTAAATTGAGAATGTCATTTTCATTTACAACTTTTTGCCTGAAGGTTTGAGGTAACACTTGCACTTGAGCCAAATTCTAACGATCCGAAATTTCCTCATTTTCCATCCGTGCCATAAGCGGGAATATGATGTCAGGTGTCGAAATTGAAACGGATTCCCTCAACATTAAGAATTTTTACTATTCAGGATTTTTTTATTTTTGTATTTTTCTATTATTTGCAGGAAATATTCTTTCTAACCATCAGCAGATGGAAGTGCTATTTTTACAGTCGGATCGACATGTTTCAGCTTTTCTGTGTCGAAGTCCACGATCAATGCTGCTTCTTTTTCATGAGCTATGTCTAAAGCAAAACAGAACACACTTACTTGATTCCATTGAGAAATATCCTTTCTAACATCAGTAGAAAAAAAAAATACACTCCAAAATCGAAATCCCAGTAAGAACACTAAAAAAGAAAGCGGCTTTCTCCTTATTTTCAAAATCCTTTTTCGGAACAGGTCTGAGTTATTCTCGAAACAATGAGTTAACATAACTTTCCGCAGCTTTTAGCAACGCTACTCAAAATCGTGAAAGGTGTAAGTTACCAGCAGATGTTGGCAATACATTTTTCTCAATAACATCAGAATGACGAAGTCTGCTAGTGTCGTATGTCTTTATTTCTCCTTTCAAATTTTCATTTACTTTCTCTCGATACATATCTAAAATTGGATCGATAAGATACAACAAAATCCCCGTGAAGACGTAAAGTGGAAAATGTGTGGGACAAAAATCACCCGTATGTTTGTTATTAGCTGAAGAGCCTTTCACGGGAAATAAATACCAGAAAAATATTATTATCGGATTGATCACCATGTTGGAATGTAAAATCTACACAATATCTTATGGATTTCTCCGAGCAATATATTTCTCTTTTTGAGAGCACAAATTTGCAATCTGATAACAAAAAACTACCCTCTGGCTTTGGAAGAACATTCTTCTCAATGATGTCTGCGTGTCGTAATTTATCACGATCATGTTTTCTGATTTCTTCTTTCAACTGAAGATCGATTTTTTCTTGACGAATGTCTTCAACAGAAACATAGTAAGGACTTTTCTAATGCCCCTTCATTGCTGGGTATTCTGTCTTAAGTTTTCCTCATAACTTTGGAGCAGTAATTTTCCTTCTCCCAAATGCAGAAAATATATTCAGATAAAAATTAGCTTCAAGATTTGTAATTCCGGCATATTAACTTCATGAAGGGAATGTATGCCTTTCTTAGGAATGATAACGAGGGGCTACCAGCCATGGATTGTTGACTGAAGATATTTATAATTAACAAACAGGACAAGCTTTCTTAAACTCTCACGTATTTAGACCTTATACATGGATTATATGAATTGGGAAAGAAATTACACCCTTATTAACTATTTAAATCTACTTTGCAACATAACGTTATTAATTTGAAATTACTCAATATTGAGGTTTACAGGCTAAAGCATCGATGATAACACCAGGTCAAGGTAATGATAATGGCAGTTTTCGCATATGTATATCAGTATTATTCAGTCTTAATACCAAATCATCTCTACTTTTACAAAAGAGAAAAATCACCGGAAGCTGTGGGTAAAACACTTTTTTCGCTGACTTCCACATGCTTCAGTTGTTGGCCCTTGGTGACTTCTGCAGCTATATCAAGCGGTAACCTCGGAGCTCTTACTTTTTTGACCTCCAACCTTTCATCATTGATTTTTTCCATTATTGGATGTACTAAATATATACGGATATGACTTATGCACAAAGTTGGAACGTTATTCCTCGATTTCCAAATGATAGTTTCTGAAATGAAGTGAAATAAGTGACAGTTGAGATGATAGTTGTGATAACAAATAAATCAGCAAAATTAGATGAAAGCCATACGGTGTTTTCAAATAAAAAAGATTGAAAACAGAGAAAAGCTTTGATGATAATGGAATGATCAATAAATAGCAGGCAACTAAGAAATGGATCTGACAGCGTAATCATTCCATCTAACAGCTAAGGCGCAAACGTCGCTCCTATCTTCGCCATCGAAGGATACTTCTCGAAACTTTTTGAATTCAACAGTTACTACAAATACCACTGTGGGATGACAGATATAGTTACTTTAATTGAAAATTAATGGTACCAAGTCTATTTTTTGCCTTTCATTCACAAAGGCAACAATTATGAGTGGAAAATAGCAAAGAGATTGAGCCATTGCGATCCTAATTTAAACTTCTAAGCTAAACACTTGGTTATCTGGTAGACTTCCCGTTCAAGGGCTTGATTCACATAACTCTGCATCAGAGAGTTAAAATTCGGATAGTATGATCACAAATAAAATCCCACTCCTTTAATGGAAATGACAACAATAGCAATATGAATAAATAATAATTAA